TGTCTGTAGAATTACTGTATTAAATAAAATAGGAATCTTGTTGGATATTGTTTCTCGAGGATCAACACCAAAAGGCTGAAAGCAATAAACTTTGGTTTTCTGGACATAATTTTGAAACAATGTTTATATCAAATGACCATATTATGAATATGTCAGTTATTCAAATCAAACATTAAATTATTTTTAATGTTGCACCTTCTGCATTTAATATTAATCTTGAATTTAATAAAGACACGAATTGAGTGATTTTAGACGTTTATTTTGAGTAACAACATGGATTCTAAAATTTGTCATTAATACAAATTATGAATTAAAGATGGGTCTAATAAAAGCAGAAAAAAAAGATAACTGAAAGTTGTTGTGGAGAAATTCTCGAAAAGAAATATAATCGATCAATTATTTGAAACAATAACAAAACAATCTACGCTTATTCAGTCAAGTTCGAATAATGCGATGTTGTGGCAGATATGAGAATGCTGAAAGAAAATATGATTTTAAGTTTCCTATTTTTATTTTTAATAACATTTTTTTCTATCTTTATTAAAAGTTTTTCATTTTTCATTAGCTTGTCAAACACAATGGGGAGAAAGAAACGATCAATGTTTTATAATCCAAGTATTAAAAGTATTGTTGTGACGATTAGCAAAGAGCGTGATACATAAAATACAACTTCTTCATGTATATACGGTATATTTTATTGTTGTGTACCTGTTTCTCGCTTATCAGAAAGTTGTTTAAATTCAGATTGTGCTTTGAAGTATATTGCTTTAGATTACGCTTGTCGACTGCATGCTCAATATGCTTATAAATGTGGTACGCCAAATAAAGCATGGCTTTTTTGTTTACATGTAGCCGTATTCGTTAAATTTTCTTAGTCTTAGTAACTAGTTACTTATAAAGTGCATGCATTATGGGTATTCGTCAATTTATTGGAAGACGAGGAGACCCTGAGATTTATTCTGACAATGTATCTCAGTTTGTTTAATCTGAAACTCAATTTTTTTCTGTGTACCATTCTATAGAATAGAAGATTGATACGCCTATTGGACCTTGGTTGGAAGTGGTTCTTTAGCAATGTTGCAAGCAACAGAGAGGTGTTTGAAGAAAACGTTAAAAGCCTCAAAATTTTTATTTGGAGAAAGAAAAGATTTATTAAAATTGAAATGTATTAAACAGCCAAGAATTTATTTATCAGAATAATATTTAGTTTAAATAGCGTTAAGTTACTTACTTACGTATTAGTTATTCAGTAAAGAATAACAAGTTATATCCAACCAAATATACTGACTCATTGAAGTTTATTAATTTCACCTTTCGTTAATGAAAACTGTTCCTCTACTTGTTAATGGTGGCTAACAAGCTTTGAATTTTGAATTCTCCGCACTACATTGCACGCTAGCCTTACTCTTCCCTGAGGGCTTGTTAGCCTGGTTTTAATAGTGATAAATAATTTTTATGTTACTTGCTGTATAATCACTATTATGTATTGCATAATTTTAAAGACTAGTTATCTTATAAGGTAAACCGTTGTGTAGTTAAAAACTTAATACAGCATTTTAAAGTCAAATCTGAAAAAGAAACTGTTAAATGAAACCACACTACCATCGGAGTGTGGTTTCAGTTAATAGTTGATCACACTCAAATCAGATCCTACCTCGTTATGGCCAATAAACATCAATCGGTCAAAGAAATAGTTTAATCCAAAAAAATTAAACAAACTTCTTCACAAATCGAGTTGTCCACAGATAAAACTGTTTAGCAAATTAAATTGCAAAGGTTGAATGTCTAAATGCCTTTTTAAACCAGTTAGACTTGTTTTAACAAAACCACCTCAGTGCCGCATTGGCGCTCTTCACAATATCATACGGCTGCATTGTGCTCAACTTACTAAACTAATTAACAACAAAGGGGCTCGATGATATTTTACCCAAAAAATCTTACATGACCTGAAAAAACACTTATGGAGGAGTTTTAATTAATAAACAAAACGAATAATTGACAAATTGATTATGTCGCATTATAACTTAGTTGCTTTTTTGTTCCAAGTTTGAATTTTTATTCAAAAAAATTAGTGTAGCATACAACTTTAAACTCTTAATAAGTTTATATACAACAAAATTAAATTGAAATGAAAAATATAACTACAAGTAAACAATATGTTCTTTAATATTGTTTTTGAAACTAAAATAACGCAAGAATTTGCTAGCATTCTTTTTTTAATACTTTTAGTGACTGTTGCATTGTTTGAACGCTCATATTTAAAACTAAATATCATCAAAACGTATCTACGGTTGAGGATTTCCAAATATCGACTTTCTAGATAGGCTTTACAACCAATAAAAAACTAGAGAAGTTACACTTTTGGACAATAACAAAGTGATTGAAGGTTTGCAAATAAAAAATCAATCGGAAACATGCTGAACAAAACTTTCTTTCGTAAGAGGTTTTTAATTTGAATAGTGGTTTAAAATTAACACATGCAGTGCTAAATTATTATATTTTGAACAAAATATATAGGGGATGTGGAGGCATAACCGCCCCCATAACGTTTGGGTTAAGGTTATATAAAAAAAACAAAAGCGAAATGTGTTTTTTTAACAGTTTATTTCAATAACCGCAATATTGCGCTTTTTGAATATATATATATATATATATATATATATATATAAATATATATATATATATATATATATATATATATATATATATATATATAAGTATATATATATATATATATATATATATATATATATATATATAAATATATATATATATATATATATATATATATATATATATATATATATATATATATATATATATATATATATATAAATATATATATATATATATATATATAATATATATATATATATATATATATATATATATATATATATATATATATATATATATATATATTTATATATATATATAAATATATATATATATATATAAATATAAATATATATATATATATATATATATATATATATATATATATATATATATATATATATATATATATATATATATATATATATATATATATATATATATATATATATATATATATATATATATATATATATATAAAGCTAATACCTACATTATATGATAATATAATAATTTTATTTTTTTAGTTATCCCAAGAAATCCTGACGGTCTTATCTATATAACTTCTAATCGGAAGTTAACGTTTCCTTGCTAACCAATGTTGCGAAACATGCCCAGAGGTGGGGTTTGAACCATTAATGGTTTCTGAGGCAAGTGCGCTACCGCAGAGCCGTGGTTGCCCGTTTAATAAATTTAAACTTTACTTTATATTTTTAATATATATATTTAGCTTTATATTTTAATCAAAAACTCATTTATAAAAATTAAATTAAAAAAATACGAAATTTAATTTCTTACATCTCAAAATAAAATTATTTCTATTCAAGACTTTTCATGAACGCATTTAAGTGTGACGAGTGTAACTATTATTATTCGTAATTACCTAACTTCGATAAATGTTAAAAGTATACGGTTGTGCCTTTTGCGCATCTATGTTCTGCCCCAGTGGACAATTTTTAGAAATAATATAGTTTTATAAATCACTTAGGTTTTGTTGATATCAAAAATGGTTTTCACTTGATGAAATAATGCTGATAACATATATCTTTATTACTAAAAACAATTATTGCTTATTTCTCAAAAGTATGTTAGTTTGTGTTTTATTTTTTCAGTGAAAAGTTTATTAGATTGAAATCTTTTTTTTCTTTCAAATCGAAAAAGTTATTAATGCATATTAACAGTAAAATAATAATTTGTTTTACAAAAAACAACACAATTTAACAATAAATACATGAAAAAATGAAAAAAAAAAAAAATTAATACAAGGCGTTATAAATAAGGTTTTTAAAAGTATTTTTATAAATGCTTTATATAAAATTTTTTAGTTAACTTTTTTTATAGCATATATATCAATTATTTGGAACAATAACTATTGAAATTGCGCTGTAATATTTCAAAAATTACTAGTGTAATTGTGCTTTCTTTCAAATTTTTGAAGTTTAAAGCTAATAGTATATGATGTATATTTGTATGTACAGCTTGATACTAAGTTAAAAAAAATAAGATATTTGTTATTTAACAATTAAACAGTAAAATAAGTTCAAGTATAAATAAAACTTTTTTGAATTCAACTTTGATAAGCTGTATACTATACTTAAGAGTAATTTTAAAAAATGAGGTAGATAGTTGTTGCCAAAACAGACGAATGATTTTTGCTAGATTAAACATAAATTCAAAACTTGCGCCGCTCTTTATTTTTCACATTCTTTTGTCTTATAGAATATGAATATATTTAAATAAAGCAATATATTAAAAATAAGGAATAACCCAAAGATCACACTCCATTAATTAATTAAGATTTACACATTTTATATTCAGATACCATGTTTGTTAGAGAAGGTTAATTTAATGAAATTCATTCAAGTTCATATTAATTCAAATTCCCTTAACTTGTTCAAGCTGCAGTGAAACACTAAATAATATAGAAAAATGAAAGTAAAGGAAAATAAAGAAAAACAATATAATAAAGTATTGTTCAAATAATATATTCATTAGATAAAATTATCTAAAATAAGAAAAAATAGAAGATTTAAAAAAATAAAATACTTATACAAATATTTTAAAAAATTTAATTAAATCATACGGAAAAATAAGCATACAATACATTGCAATAAAATAATGGAAACATTCCATTATTTGTGCAATGAATGTTTAAAATACATGTAAAAAAAACACATAAAAAATATAAACATACTTATAAAAAAATACATACAAAAATATGAACATACATTAGTATTTAATGTAACATCAAAAGACTTTAAATATCAAAAATACTTTTAAAGTTACAAAAAACTATACTTTAAATATCATTTGTACTAAGATAATATTGTAGTTTGACAATTGCATATTACATCAAACACAAAGCATATTTAAAAAATACTTACAGTATATTTACTTGGATTAGAATTTGTTTTTATAAATCTATATGGAATATGTTCTGAAGCAAGGGTAATGAATGGTGGAAAGAAATATTCCAGTGAAACGTTGTAACCATTTCCACTCAATTCGATTGATAAGTTTATATTATTTCTAAAAATTTATAAAACTTGGTAAAAAATTTTACTAGTTTTTTAGCAAGAATGTTCCGTTGTAATAAATAAAAAAAAAAAAGATTAAAAATTTGAAAATTGCAGTTTATAGAGAATATATTATATAAAAATAGTTATATAAGAAATGTATTTGCATTACCTGGGTTACCCTATCATTTACAATTTAGTTAAAGAACATGATTAATGTTGTAGATTTTAGTTGAATTACACTTCAAGATTTGCATTTCATAGGCATTTGAAGCAGGAGTTAAAGAAACCACCCCTTACTACATAAGTAACACTATAGCATAGAAGTAACATAGAAGTAAAATATTCCAAAAAAATATTTCAATATAGGGAAGTTCCCTTGTACAAAAAAGGAATCAAAACAAATCTCAAAAAAGGTTTACACCAAACCTATGTAACTTTGTTTTACATTACATGGTATTGTTTTTTTTAAATTTAATTTTCCTTATATTCCGTTTAAAATTTTGAGTTTTTTTTATATAAACTTATTTTTCTTTAACCTGAAGATTGCGTAAAATTAAACTGAATCTTTAAAAAAGTTTCAAGTTGATAAAATTTTAATATTTTCAGTTCACCTAAATGTTCTTGTTTTTCTTTTTATGAGAGCCATAAAGTTTTCCGCCAGATAAGACTATATTTATTGGTTTTATCCCAATTTAAAAAAAAAAAAAAAAAAATGATAATGTTTCTCAAAATTTCTTTAATAACTTGGCTAAATTAGTTGCCCAAGACTTCTTAATTGAACAAAGTTCAAAACATTTTGCTGGGTTGCGTGTTCTAGGTAATATATACTATTTGCATTGTAGAAGTACAACCTAGGTATGAAGTAATGGAAAGATGCTAAGTAAGACAAAAATATTTTATTACCATTGTGGGCGTGCAACAGTAGCAAAAAGCTCTGTTTAAGACATTCTTTTTAATAAGTTATATTTTTCATTGCGGAACCCAGATTTCACTTCACCTCTTTAGATATTTTGGAATTACTCTCTTTATATTTAACTTTTTTAAAATCTCGTTTAAATACGTACATAAATCAAGTAGGCTATTTAAAAGTAGCATGAAGTTTTATTAAAATTGTGTAGCGGAAGTTTTAACTTCTTACAAGTTACAACTTCTTATACCTGAAATAACTAAATTTATAAGATTGTCTGGATCCACCGAATCGAAAGTTCAATCCAGTATATAATTTTCGTCAATGAAATAATAAATTTACACAGTTCTTCTTAAAATAAAATATGTGCTTTAAATTCTGAAAAGAGCAAGCAGAAGACAATACATTTTATTTTTTGCTTTTTAATAAAGAAATAATTTACTCTATTTTTTTGTTTAATTTTCATAAAATATAAAAGCAAAAATATTAGTTTTAAACATACACCAGTAAGTTTGTAAAAGCAAGTAAATTATGCAGAAAAATGTTTTTGTTTGTTAGATATGATAAATGTTGTTTTATATGTTTTTTTTTAAATGCCTATTTTTATACCGAATGTAAAAGTTGTAAATCGAATGTTTTGTTATCCTTATAGCGTAGTCGAAAGAGGAAAAACTTTGTGACTACCATGCAAGACTATATGTATATATATATATATATATATATATATATATATATATATATATATATATATATATATATATATATATATATATATATATATATATATATATATATATATATATATATATATATATATATATATATATATATATATATATATATATATATATATATGTATATATATATATATATATATTATATATACATATATATATATATATATATATATATATATATATATATATATATATATATATATATATATATATATATATATATATATATATATATATATATATATATATATATATATATATATTTATATATATATATATATATATATATATATATATATATATATATATATACTTTTGTATATTTATTTATATATATATTCTTCTTGTTTCTTTTTGTTTGTATGTTTTAATTTTGTTTTATAAAAAAATACGAATAGATGAATTTAAATATATATAATGTTCGGAATATTTTTCAATTCAAAATATCTTTTGTATATTTAAATATATATTATGAAGGTTATAGGATATGTAGACGCATATGTACGGATTTGTTAATTATTTTTTCAAACTTAATTATTATTTATTATTTTCAAACTTTTTAGTTTTGTCAAACTTAAAAATTATTTTTAAAACTTTTTGATTTTTTTAAATTTTTTAATTTGTTTTTTTAAACTTTTTTTAATTTCACTCTTATATTATTGGAAGTTGTAAAATTTTATTTAAATTTTATTACTTTTTCTATTTTCACGAAGAGACATGATGATAAGACATTTTGTCATCTACTTGCCCCAGTCAACTTGCAATTGTATAAATTTATTTGAATGCAAAGTTAACATTGTAAAATCTGTCAAATGACGAAATAAATAGATAAAAAAAAAAAAAAAAAAAAAAGAAACCATTAATAAAAATTATTATTTGTTTTCCTTATACAACTTACTTTCAAGATTTAACCATATTATTAAAATGTTAAATACATCCTGATATATATATATATATATATATATATATATATATATAAATGTAATATATGAAATATTTTTCAAATGTGATATATGAAATGCTTAATTATCATGAAAAACAATTATTTACCTTTCATTAGTAATTTTTTACACGGATGACATTTTGAGTACTTTTATTAATTGTTGTAAATATATGGTTTTAAACTATAGTTTTAAATATATTTTAAACTAGACGCTTGTAAAAAGATCTTTAAGGATGCGAACAGATAGATGAAGAAGTTGGAGAGGTGTTAAAGCATTGTTCCTAATCAACCAAGTGGAGTTAACTAAGAGGTACATGAAAAAAATTGTTTTTTTTGCTACCTATAAAGTTTATTCTTAGATTCATCTAAGTAAACTTAAAAACGCATATCATAGTGTTAGTTATTTAGTCTTTACAATAAAAAAGTATTATTGTATTTATTTAGACAAAATTTACAGCAAATGCTCAAAATAAATATGTGTTGCAGCGACATTTTGAAGAAAATTCTGACAGGACGGATTAGCATATGTTATGTTAAATGTTATATGACCAGATCAGAAAGTTTTTTTTTAATTTTTAAGTGTCTAGATTTTTAAATGTTGTTAATTGATGAAAAAACAATTCCTTAAAATTTAAAAGCATTATTCCAATGTTAGGTAACAGCTTAATTAACTTTACATTTCAACGGTGTCCTTATATATAAAGAAATAAAGTTCTTTTAAAGTAAGTCAACCTGGTGCTCAAAACAATATAGCAAAAATAATATAAATTTCAACAATAATATTCGTTTTAAAAAATATATAAATACATTATTTTTTTATTTAAAACTTGTAAAAATGCACTTTTATTTTCGGTTAAAAAACTTAAATTTTTGTTTAATTGAATCTAAAAGAACAGTTGTATTATTAAATGATTACTTAATTGATATTTTTATACAATATCACTACTTTGAAGATCCAACATGACACTTGAATTGTTTTTTTTTTAAATATTAGGGACCCGTTGAAAAACCCGTTGCTGTCCCTAAAACACTCACACCTATTTGTGAACTAATATCATTCTTTGTGTATAGATAATTCATAAATAAAACTAGTTTGTTTATCAAATCCAGAAGAAGCATTTTTTTTTAATTAGGAATTTATATTTTTATGCTGTTGATGTTGTTTTGTAAAAATTTAGTTTAAATTGATGTAAAATGTTATTTATGCCCTAAAGGGTACTAATAAGTCAACTTTTTCATCGCAAAAAGTACTATTTTCTTAATTGTAATCAACTCAGCTATTTGTGTATCTTTGGTCGAAACATATATTAAATCCTAAATGTAATATGGGATTTCATATAATCTTCATATAGTGTAATTCAGCTGTAAAACATGGTGAATTTGTTTTTAAGTAAAAATAGGTTTTGTAAATTCAAAAAATCATTACATTAAAAATACTAGCAAACGTAGGTTTAAACAGAAAGTCTGTTTAAATCTATACATTAAAAAGAAAAAAAAGCGTTGGGTAAACGTCCGTGTTCGTAATAACACGTTCAAAGTGAACATTTAAGAGCTATCGAAGTAACATTTCCAGAAAATGTTTGCTGTTTGTTATTTGAACGTTCAAGAACTATAAATTGTCTTTCACAAAAATTTGTTCAAATAACGTTTGCAGCGTACGTTATGCAAACCTAAACAAACGTTATGGTAACGTTTTTTGAACGTTAATTTTTAGCTGGGGTGGACGTTCAAGGTGCTATCAAAGTCAACTTTCATTGTCTGTTGTTTAAACGTTCACAGCGTACGTTCAAGAACTGTAAATCGGAGTTCACAAAAGTTGGTTAAAAGAACATTTGCAGCGTACGTTAATCGTTATTTATTAGCTGGGTAAAGAAATCGAGAAAAACTTCGTAGGAGTCGAGAAAAAATCTATAATTTTTTGTAATAAGTTAAAAAATCAGAGTTAATCTAATTTTAAACTAAGTAATAATTTTTGAAAAAATTGTTATTAACCTAGTTGGTAGTTAAATATAGTTTTTGTATTTTTTTTTAATTTGATATGTTTTGATTTATAATTCATTGAAAAATTGAAAAAAAAAAAAAAAATATGTTTTTATATTTCTTAGTACCTAGATATTTTTTTACCCATATTTTTCAACGAACAAGTCTTAACTAATTAATGGCTTTCTAACCGGCGTCGGTTAAGATGAAGGCGTGAGCTTTCATTTAAAAGCCCTTCCGCGGTGCTCTGTATAAAAGATATTTTGGGGCACCAATAGTAACAATTAAAAAGCAACTAAAACTTAAAACATTTATTCTGAAAATGCTTTTAGATATTATTTTGAATTTTTTTATATTTTTAATGAAATTGTTAAATCAAAATTTATAAAATGAATTATATATTTTAGGGGTTATAGAAAATAAATAGACAACATTTTACAAAAGAATTGAAGAATTTTTTGACTGAAGAATTTTTCATATTAACTTGAATGTGAACTTTTAAATTTGTTTTCTAGGTGCAAATTTAAAATATTAGATGCATAAGACTATAGCAAATTGACTTTTTAACAAAAGCATTTATTTAAAATATATTATTGGTTTAATAAAGATTGGGACATTTTAAAAACTTGCAATATTTAAAATATTTAGTCAAAAAAAGTTTATTAGTTTGAAAACTTTAACTTACTAAAACAATTACCTAAATATGTAATTTATATTTGAAAGCACTATTTGCTTAGGTCAATATTAGTTTAGGTTAGTGTTGCACTGACCTAATTAAATAACAGCTAATAAACTATAAACAGCTAATTTAATTTAAATAGAAAAACATCCCTAGAATGTTATCCTATGTAAATAAAGGTTTGAAAGTGACTAATATAGCTGCAAGTTTTAATTTAACACAATGCTGGATAATAGAATCGTCAAAGTAAATGTTAGATAGAATAAAATTGACACCTTTTCATCCGTATAAATAGGAAACTAAAAAATTTGTACACAATTTTTCATTAAATAAAATAGCTACTTATGTGTTAGTATTCAGGTTGAAGATTTAATTTTAAATTTTTTTTATATAAAATGGCAAATTTCAAATACTATTTGAAATGGCAAAAACACTTTAAAAAGTGCTTTACGGAAATTTGCGTAAGCCAAGTTAAATAAGATAATTAGAGCAGTAAAATCTAATACTGACTATTGGAAAAATTAAAAACTGCATGATTCTTATCAATAAAAAAAACTAACAAACTTTATCAAACACATCGTTGTTTTTCTACAACTGTAAGACAGTTGTCTTGCAACAACAAAAATTATATGCTTTTAAGTAGAATGCATTGTCCCAAAATCATGATTTCAAGTGCCATTTCAGCCATTCAAGTTGACGCTTAATCGTTAATTTTTTAACACTTTATATATATTTTTTTTCACACTATTTATATATATATATATATATATATATATATATATATATATATATATATATATATATATATATATATATATATATATATATATATATATATATATATATACATATATATATATATGTATATGTATATTTAACACTATATAGTTTTTTACCAATCGTTAATTTTTAAACACTATAGCTAATACTATAACCTAACTTGAAAAAATTACAAAAAAAGTAAAGGTTTTCATGAAAATTACGAACACCCACAAAGTATAACTGATGGAGACCCTTATATTAACATCATTTAGTTCTCACTTTTTAATTGTATATACTTATTGTTGTTCTATTTAACCCGTTAAAATTTTGAATATTTTTTACTCCTCCCCTATTTTTTTTAAAAACATTTATTAATAAAAAGTTCTATGAGTGTCTTGTTTTCCTACAATAAAAACTGTGTTTTGTAATGATTTATACAATTTATGTAACATATAAGATATATAAGAGTAAAAACACATCCTATTTTATAAAAAATGTTGTTCTTTGTGATTGATGCATCAATGATTTTTAATGTACATCTTTAATTAAATATAGTATCTTTATTTCTGTTATACGTAAAACAAAAGGAGTAATCAAAGAAGATTCGAACCGTTAATAATTAAATATCCTTAAATATCCTCAAATATCCTTTAGTTAAAGTTAATTAAAATCAAAAAAAGAGTTTATTTAACTATAAAAAAATGAAATAAGCAAAATATAAAAAAAAAAATTAAAAAAAAATTAACAGTTAAAAAATATTATATTATATTGCAGTTAAAACCAAAATTTCTTTAATTGATAAAAACATGCTTACCTCTCAACAAGTCCATAAATGCTGCTATTAATATGATTATCTAAGTAAAAAATATAAAGTTATCAATATGATTATCTCTGTAACAAATTACAGTTATCAACTTGATTTTCTAAGTAATCACCTATCTATTTAGTTATCAATATTATACAATTATAAATATTGTTTAAGAAATATAATGCAGTTATTACTATTATGATTTTTAAGTCATAAAATACAATTATCATCATGATCTTGAAAACAAAATTTAGTGTTATAATAATATCTAAGTTTTAAAAAATGTTGTCGTTACAGTTTTCTGTTCAAAAATATGACATTTAATCACTAGTATTATTACATCAAAGGTATTGCAGTACATCACAATATCTTTAAAGCACCACATGTAATATTACACAACAATACTACAAATGGATCACAAGCATTAATGAAATAGTAAACGGTTTTGGAAAAGTAACATAGTTTAACATTCGAAAAATTTAAAAATTTCAAAAATTTCAATAATGTTAAAGTTAACATTTTGAAATTAATATTGTACATTCTAACATCTAGTACAATATCTGTCCGCTTTCTCTATACTACCTTTTTAACATGACCACTTTTGTCTTTCGCTCTAATAAGTCTTCGTTCTTTCCAAACTCACTTTACTCTCGATCCGTGAAGCGGATTATAACGCTTTTGTGCTGAAATTATGTATGTCGACCTTAATAATGTGGCCTTTTTAAGACTACTAGCTGGAGAAGGATAAACTGCAATACCAAAGTCTGGCATTCGATATATAAGTAACTAAACGCAGTAATATCACTTCTTGGCCTAATGGGTAAGATCAAACGTAGTATCTGATCTTACTTTGGCAACCAACTGCCTTTGGTTGCTTACTGTGAAGTTATAAAGCAACTTTGATCTTATTGCAAATATCAAAACTGTAATAGTCGTTAAAGCTTCTTGGCAAAATCACTATTTTGTTGCCTTTTTTACGTCCTGAAATCTAAAAGCAATTCGTTTACTCCGGACGTTAAATGGAGATAAATCATTAAGTTGGCGCTGCTGGGCTTCAGGAAAGGAGAATTTAACAAACCGATAAGTGGACCAAACTTTGAGTCCTTAATAATACTACCTGTTAAAGCCCTAAGTAGTTATGAATTAACTTGCAGGCGCATCTAGTTGGTCGGGAAAAAAAAATAGTAATGTTCAAAAAGAAAAAAAGAAAACATTGTGATAAGATACAACATTCTTAAAAAAATGACCACATTCCATGCAAGTATTTAAGTAAAAAAAAAAAAATTACAGAAAGATAATACCATTGTCTTTAAAGTGTTGTATATTGTACCTTAAGCTTTTAAATTCATAATGATTAAATATAAAGACTATATTTTCAAAATGTACGAAGTTTGAGTAAATTGATTTTGAGAATTCAATAAAAACCTGAACTACTTATAGAGACACAACATCAAAAATAGACTTTTTTTCTAACTGTTATTAGAAAAATTAATCTACTATTATATAAAGTGTTAAGGTTGATAAATTTATATATAACGTTTAAAAACTAAATAACCAACCGGCACACCTGTGTGTATATTGCGTACACTAGAATTCCTAGATCAAAATTAAATTAAGCAAAAAATTTACTAAAAAGTTTTATATGTCACTAAATCAAAACTTCATTAAATCAAAAGTCTTATATTTAATTTATGCAATTTTTAAAATTGTCTCAAAGTATTATCTTGTTTTAATAAAAACAACTACTCTATAACTATATTCTGTCAGAAATATTCAGATATATACAAAAAGCTGCATGAAAAGTCTTTATATAGCTTTTTTGATATATGTAAAATGTACAAAAGCAGAACAATATCATTTCAAAAAAATATTCTTTTGATAAAACATAACACATGTACCAATGCTTTTTTCACTTATATGGTATTGTTTAATATAATATATAACTAACGTTGTATTATTGTATTATATATTATGAAGTTCATCAATATAATATTAAGTTATAAGAAAAGATATTGTTCTCTTAAATCTCTCTCACAGTTTTCTTATGATATTTTTGAATGATATTATCATTTACATCAACGTAAATTGTGATGGTAATATATCTGTTATCACATAATATATGCAATAATATATAATAAATACAAAAAAACCCTGTATAGTATAGATAGAATAAACCTATCTATATTTCTAGGAAATTTATTGTTATTCATGTAGCAAAATATTAGTGCAAACTGTACGTTCAGTTTCTACTGATGCATTGATATACGTGGTAATCCTATGGCCAAATAAAACTTATTGTTCTGCTAAAATACAATTTTATACACCAATATATCAGTGTAAACTGCATTTGAGGTATATCTTCGTAGATAAACATCCATTACTGATTGCACTAATATGTTGGTAAATGTAATAATACTTTAGAAAAACAATAAATATTGTTCGGCTAAAGCATTATCATGTATATTGATATATCAGTGGAAACTGTAAGAGAAGTTTGCACTGATATGTTGGTATATGTAATAGTGCTATAATCGAACAATGTTTATTGTTCTGCTAAAGTATTATAACATATACCAACATACTAGAGATATTTGTATTTTCACAGGTAAAATATGTAAGAATATATAAACCTCCACTACTGGAGATCACATTTATTAGTATCGCAATTATTATATGTGATGTCAAATATATATATATCTAGTTCTGCTTACCCTAATATGATATCAAGTTCGTTAGCGAACTGTTAAATAAAGATCGTGTATCAATAGAAAACAAGTAATAACAATTTATAAGAATTATCTCTGGAAAGTGAATATATATTTAAGTGATAGTCAAAATAGAGTTTCAAGTATGGTTGGTTTTTTTAATTACTTTGAATTTAGTGACACTGATTCTGAACCCACTCCCGTGTATGTTATAAGCATTTAAAGCAATAAAATATAAAGGCATAAATTATACATTACAGTATTTATTCTAATGCCGTCTAGAAATTTTATTAGATCTCTACATTAAATTTTATTCACGTTTTCCTATGCATTTTAGCATTTACGTTTACAAAGATTTAAAGTTTATAATAACTTTGTAACTATTGATGTAAATATTGATGGACTTCCTATTTAGAGCTTCGATAGTTAGCAATTGGAGCTAATTTTTTCTTCAATTGTAAAATATAGTATCTTATTCTTTTCCAGTGGCTATTTATATTGGAAATGCAATGTCATCAAGTTTTCATGACACAACCTTATTTACAAGATTTTGTAGCAATTGTTTTTATCTAAAAGTTAATGGGTTAGTTAATAATAAAAAACAGTATGAACTTCTTTTGCATTGTTTCATTTGTGATTTTCCAGTATATGCATTTGTTAGATGTTGCTCTGGTCATACATCAAAAAATAAGTGTGATTGGTTAACTTCTGTGACAGAGCAATGTAAAAAAATAAAAAGGTATTTATATAAATATTTATGCAATTTTAAGAATTGATGCTGAATTTAGGTCCAATGGCTACCTGTTGCAAAGATAAAGAAATAGCATAACATTGTTAATAAATAGTTTATATTTGCCAGAGGGTCTATGCGTGACTTTTTTTCTTGAAGTGACATCAATATCTTCATTTTGTACGAAAATCAAATCAAAAATTCGTATTAGCTTTGCTCAGAAGTGACTGAAATTAAATCAAATGCTGGAAGCTTTTGACTTATTAGAAGTCCAAATCGTTTTTTTGAACTAGAACATTGAAAGGCAACAGAATTTTGTCAATTTATCTTATATACAAAAAATATTGTGTTTGAGAAAGTTTTAAACAGTGAAGTGTAAAATCTGTTTGTTGCATTTGCTATAACTGTAAAAATTTTAAACAAAGATAATAATAATAACAGATATTAATTGTTGCCATTTGGTAATTACCTTTTTGGTATTTGTATCCATAATTAATTTTTTTATTTTATTGCTAATTACCTTTTTGCTACCTGAATCCATAATTCATTTTTTTATTTTATTGCTAATTTACTTTTTGATACTTGTATCCATAATTCATAAAGATCTGTAATTTTCAATGTTCTTACTTTGTTTAATAATGTTGGTGGTGCAAATATTATATTTCTTCTGTAAATAATACGTTTGCATTTAAATTTGAAAATTTACAATATTTAAGAAAAATAAATAAGAAAAGCAAAACGTGATGTGGTCGTGGCGCAGTGATTAGAGCGCATGCTTTATAAGCAGGAGATCCAGGTTCGAAACGAACTCTAGACATATTTCGCGTCACGGTAACGAAGGAGGTATGAACTTCCTGGTTAAATGCACTTCCGCGTTGCTCTGAGACAAGACCATTACATCTTTTTGGGGCACCTAAAATAGAACAAATACTCCATGTAGAGGTGGAATCCTAACATAGAGAATTTGTTCCTGCAAAATTTTTAAATAATTTTTTAAATTCAAACAAAATTTATTGTAATTATGTTAAGGTTCGTAAATATGTATTATATTAATGCTGCTATAAATAAAAATGTTTTAAGACTAACAATAATAAGAATTTTTTATATTTTTAATGATCTTGTATATATTCAGTTATATAGTGTTATTAAAAATATAAAGTTCTTTGTTTTTTTTTTTATTAAGAATGACAACGAAGACAAAATGAGCGACAAAGAATACAAAAAGGTATAACAAACTCAATTGAAGATTTTAATATTTTTGTGAATAAAGTGTGTGCGTCTCATTTTAAACTAGTTGCATGCATTTAGATCTAAATAAGAACTTTTTTTAATTTTTGGTTAAATTAGTTTCTTTTTTTCTGATATGGATTTTCTAATTTTATAAGAGTTATCAAAAAACATCAGAAGTTTTATTTTTCTTTGAAATCGTCCTCCTTTATGATCTACCACCAATGGCGATGGCAGTCAAATCTTTTAATAAAATGGATTTAAATTTTTTGTCAATTAGTATAACTTTTGAATAATACGCTTTATAGTGTATTTTTTTAAAATGTATTTCTGGTACGAGTAGAAACTTGGTAAAATGCCTAGCCTACACTCATGAATAACACG